GAGAGCCCGCGGAAAGGGAAGCGAAACCTCTTGTGCAATTCTTACCCAGCCCCCTGGTTTTGCAGGGCACAGCTGGTTTGGGGTGAAATGAGAGATATTTGACAAATCTGCCTTGTTCTGCAGCAAGTGTGGGTGCGAGCGGCTTCTTGCTTGCACTCCTTAAGATACTGTTAACAAGGGGAGCTTTGCCATGTTATGGAGGTGTTAAAATAGGTCAGTGGCAATGTCTGGGACGTGGGAGGCAGCTCAGGTGCCAGTCGCCGTTTCCTCTTTCTCCTTTTTTTTCCAGCCGGCGTGGAGCGGCAGGCTGCGGATCACGGCCAAGGGCAAGATCGCCTTCATTAAGCTGGAAGACAAGACCTCGGGTAAGGAGGGAAGGCAACGGCTCCGCTCCCCTTCGTGGGGAGGAAGACAGTGCAGAGGCACAACGCCCTGGCGTTAACCCGCTCGTGTTTCTCTTTTTCAGGAGAACTTTTTGCCCAGGCACCAGTGGAGCAGTTCCCTGGTATCGCTGTGGAGGGTGTGACCGACTCCAGCAGATATTTTGTCATCCGGATTGAAGATGGGAACGGTACAATCGTGATCCAGGGGGGACGGGTTGTGGGAATCGCCTCAGAAAATCTTCCTTGCCCTCACTGCTCTTATTTGTGAAGGATTCCTGCTTTCAAGAACTAAATATTCCTTGTGTACGGCAGCAAAGGGAGGAATTGTCTCACTCCCACGCGCCAGCTGCACTCTGTCCTTCACCAGGAGTAAAAACAGTTTAATTCTGCTGCTTGGTGTTAGTGGGAGGACGCCTCTGTCTGAAAGATCATCACTGTGGTGCCAACCTCTGCTTTCACTTGCTTGGATTCACTTAGAAGTTGATTTTACTAAGCCTGTTCTGCTTTGACTCACTTATGTTAATTTAAAAGCTGGTTTTATAAGAGCCCTTACTCTGCCTCCTTCCCCAGGCCGACGAGCTTTCATCGGAGTCGGCTTTGTCGACCGAGGGGATGCTTTTGACTTCAACGTGGCTCTCCAGGACCATTTTAAGTGAGTTTGTGCCTCTCCTTGTGTCCTCTCAGCTCAACGGCTCCCTGCGGGTGTCTGCTAGAAACGGAGGAGAGGAAGCTGTGAGCTCCTGTCGCACTTGAGCAGGCAAACGGGGTGGAAAGAGGTGGAAACTCCTGTTTCTTTCCGCAGGCTCAGTCTCAAATATTTCCCAGCACACTCCCAAATTGGGCTTCCCAGTCTGAAACTGGGTGGTTATTGACGACCCCAGGCTGGTCGTTGATGTATCTTTTCTCCTTATTTAATTCCTGCAGGTGGGTGAGGCAGCAGAGCGAGCTGGCCAGCCAGGCCCAGAACCCCGATCAGGGACCCAAGCTGGATCTGGGCTTCAAGGAGGGGCAAACCATCAAACTCAACATCGCGGTGAGGGGCTTTTCCGGCTAAATCCACTCCCGGCCTTTCCCTTGGGGTGGCACAAGAGGAAGCAGCAGCTTTGCCCTGAA